TGATTTATCTCCGCGAACAGGAGCTCCGGAGCGACTTAACCAATGCAACGTCTAGATGAATTAGCTCCGGGGCCCGTGGGCACTTCTATCAAGGGGCGTCGTCCTCATGCCCAACCTCCAGCACTCACTCCCCCTCATTTCCGTCAAGATAGTGAAGGTGCAGACGCATACGAGTCACCATGAGGTCAGCATCAGTCAGCAAGCGGCCGGAGGTAATTAGCACGTGACCGGCGCGTCGCACGGAGTGATGGGACCGCTTGGATCAGGTGGCAGAGCGTCAAGGCGACCTCTAGGGGTTGGGACGAGCAAGTAGGAGTGCAAAGGAGTCGTATGGTGCATGGTATAGCGGCGGCAAGTGCTGAGCAATCCTGTGGGTAGCGGCGTTTATTTGTTATTTATCTCCGGACGGTCGCAAAGCCATTCCTGTAGTATAAATTGTACAAAGTAGCGTACAGAAAAACAAGTTTCGACTTCACCATCTCAGAGAATTAGCGTTACGATCTCAGCGACCCGAGAAGTTCGAAAGCGCCGAACTTAGCGAATTATAACTGACCCTAGCTTTGCCAATAGGCCTGACTCGTCGAGTGAATTATCTCCGCCATCGATTCAATTAGCTCCGGTGAGCCTCACATAGCGAAATAAAATTAAACAAGTCTTTCTAGCGTTTCTTACTTCCGTGGGCCCAAACCTACACTCGGTTCCATGGTTTGCGACTTTGTTTGTGACTTTCCGGAGATAAATACTCCGGAGCGTCCCTTAGTGTTTGTTTCAGGCATCAAGGTTTTTGTTTTATTTTTCTAGGTCTTCCCACGGACTACCCTACGTCGTCTTACTCCTCCTGTCCCCCTCGAACTATTAAATACCCTTCAGTTGTCTCGGACCGCCTTCACCCATATCACGGGGTTTAGGTTTATTTCCTTTGGTCCTTGGTGATTGTTGTGTGTCAGTGCATATCAACGCATCACTTCTGGCTGGTCTCGCAGCTATTCTGGGATGCTTGATTGATCTGCCTCGTCATGGGTAGGCCCCAGATAGGGTGTTCTCAAGGACAGAAGACTCAATTCCTGAAGATAGGGCCTGAAGAGATTACTGCACTATTGAAGGCTGTCAAGAGATTCTCTGAAGGCTACCCTTTTAATTCTTTACCAGCTGCTGTAATGTGTGAGTCTGAGGACTCTGAAGAGGAATACTGATTTATTACTAATATAGAGCACTGTATAGACTATAATACTGTATGATTTCATTCTATTCGGCAGTCACATGTCACAGGGGTACCTGCCAAAGACGAAATCTGGCGTTTGTCACCAGTCACAGGGCCTCTGGGATGGTAGAACTTACCATATATGGTATCAAAAGCTGGCCTGCGGTGCCATTTCGCACCATATATAGTAAGATGCCGAAATGACGAATCGGTCAGAGAAGTCACACATCACACTGCCTGCCGAATAGATCGAAATGGTACAGTAGTGCTTCTTATTGTAGATATTATCCATAGAGCCCTGTATCTGATACAACCAGTCTATATGATTGTAGTAGAGCTCACTACCACGAAGGAATATGCCAAACAACCCGAGATGAGTAGCGAGGCCGGATTGCGAGACGCGAGTGTGACAATCACGGTCACGCGGACATGCGGCTGGCAGGAGTTGCCCAGCGTTGGGTGACGTGGCCGGAGGCGTCAGCGGTCACATGACTTTTCTCTCCAAATGGTATTACTATAATTTTGGGGGTTCTGTCAAAGTCAGATTTTTGACAGAACTCCGAAATCTCAACAAATATGTATAGGGTGACTTAGCGGATTGGTACATAGGTGAATTGTAACCCGTAGAGAACGCCTGTGAAGTCAGAACTGTCATATCTTCTACCATTGTTGAATGGGAGGACGAATACTGTCCAAACAGCCCAGTGTAATCATGAGAAACAGGCCTGATGTATTAGATCTCTGGGCCTACAGTCTTCCGGCAAATATCGGCTCACCGGGGAACACTGTATTATGTATAGCTAAACATGGTTCACCTACCCGATTGGTGTTAAACCAATTCCAACTGCTCCTATCGTATGTTTGACAGAAGTGCAAGGGTCCTGGGTGTGACAAATGCGTGACGAAATTGGCGCGGATTCCTTACTGTGACTCACGTGTGACACTTTGACAGAACTACCTGCGACTGTGGGTCCGTCACCGGCATCTCTCTCTATTATTTTTTGCCCAGTCAATTGAGGTGGTTATTTGCGCAGATAGTACTTAGGAGGGTTTATTATGATGCCTGACTGGAAGTAAAATGATTGTCCAAGGAGCGGGCCTGTGGCAGGCTGTTTTCCGAGATCTTGACAGAACCCCCAAAATGATAGTATTTGGTTGCATTTGCACGGGGGCGCAATAGCAAAGACGACCAAATAGCCGGGTGCGCACCACGCGACACTAAATGAATATGCAAAGCACTGTATCAGGGGACATAGCTTTGATCACGATCTTCCTCGGGTATCTGTCTTTTAATTAAGACAGGGCCAGCTCCTGATTCATAGTGGTGGGATGTCGTTGATCTGTTCAGAGAGCAGATGCGGTGTTGACACAAGAAAATGCCCGGTAAGGAGACAATCGTCGTGCTTCAATGCAGGGTCTCCAAATGGGAACAATTGGCGAGGTGTTCTGACATCCCTCCAGAGACTTTCGCGAATTGATAGACCATGAGTTGCTGGGAACGTCGGGCGGCTGGTGAGTAAGAATAGCTGATCAAAAGATGGCGGCATCGGACGAACGGCGGCCCTTTGATTACACTGTATCGCGAAATTGTTCAAATGCGGGGAAGGATTATTGGGCCCACCCCTCACTCATTGCAACCGAAACGAGGGCTCTCTCGTGGTCCACGCCACTGGGGTTTGGCGCGTACTCCTAGAGAGCTCCCGCTTACCGCTCCCGGTCATCCTGCAGGTTGGTCAAAGCATGCTGGATGCAGTGGCAAGACCAAAGGACTTCATTACGCGGACCTGACACTGGGTACATCACCCATATTGAGCATGCAGAAACCTGTGAAATTAACGGGTCAAAGGTCAAACTTTTTTCATGATTGTCCATTGCACAATCAGTGAACTGAATTAGAATAATACTACTTTTGAGTGTGCAAAAATCTGATTGTGACACAGGATATGTTCTTTGTTCAGCACTATTCATTGAACTTTCATATGTTTCGCAAGGCAACACTATGAACAAAATTTGACCTTTGACCGGTTTCTTTCACACTTTCTCAGTGGCTCAATATGGGAATTGCACCCAGTGTGATGGTTGGGCGTTTGTGCCAAATCGAAAGCGAACACGAGGGCTTGCTAAAATGAGAGAGAAGCAGCAACGGTCTCCAAGGGGTATCCGGGTTCATAAAGGACCCGCTTACCCCTCATTAATATTCCGCCGGTATCCCAATCGAGCTCGAACGTATGCCTGATTGAAGTCAATAAGCTGGTACATATGGAAATACCGTCCAAAAGCTTGAAGCATGAGTTCAATACAAAAGATGAGCAATAATGCCATCTGCTGGTCGAGGAAAATCAGGATCAGCGAGATCGTTTCATATCGACTGAGACGTCGTTGCAACCGCCGGGAGCGGTTGAAGTCACGTGATCCTATATTGCTTGGATGGAATACTTTTCCGAGTTTTCGCAGCAATTCCCCGTCCGGTCTGCCTATTACCGTCTCCAGTTCGCCTAATATCGACGCTCGTTTCCAACCACTCTCCTTTGCTTTGCCCTGGTTCCAACCATCAGCCTCTTGCTGTCTTGTGCAAGTCTTGTGCTGTCTTTTCCCCGGTTACCATCGGCTGAACGGTTCACATTACTCGTGTCGGAGCCCGGCTCTCCTTCCTTGTCGTTCTGCGCTTACTGCATTCGTTACTCTGAAATTTGACCTACACGTGCCGGCCCTGGGTCTTGACGTACCTTTGCACGACCCCTCGGTTATTGGCCCTTATAGCCTTACTGCCATCACGCCCGATTCCTCTGCTGCTGGCGTGTGCATTGTAATGTCAGTCTACGATTTCGAAAGCCTTCTCCGACTTCGCAGTTCTTGACGTTCTCATAAGGTTTTCTTCGATTCCTGACTCGTAATTAATACGTTTACGGCCCGTGCGACATTCCTGGCATTAGTGAGTGAGATTCCGGCTTCACTACTTATCAATGTATGCTCATGGACCTACCCCACAGCTTCGATAATCCCACGACGCCCGCTTTACTTTGAGCTTGATTAACTCTGACGATTGTACAAAGTTACGATTCTTTTTTGCGCAAAACGGTGCTGACGTGCGACTCTTCCAGCGTAACGGTTATACCTACCCTGAAGATGCCCCATACGCCTTCCGCAACGCGTCAAAGATCTGGCTCCCGGCGTGCGGAGACATCACCCGTGAAAGCATACGACCTGACTCCCCATCCATTACCAGGTCCGGTTTCTGACCTCTCTTGACCTACAGTGTACTCATATGCCACAGACCGTGCAAACGCTGCAAGGGACAGACTTCCTACGGCAAGAGATACGGATCCCATCGTCTCCCAATCAGTGCCAGATTCCTGGCTAGCGGAGGCCGGCGCAAGCCATATTGTATACGATGAGCCATCAAGTACCTTAAGCCCTTCCAATCATCTAGGCAGGTTATCCCCGCGATTGCGATCACCTTTACCCAATGGTCCCGCTCAGCACTACCATACGGACGCCCAGTCTGTCCACCACCCAAGGTCGGGCTCTACCAGCGACCTGAAAGCAGATGCTAGAGGTCAGAATTCCATGCATCCCCAGCTGCCTGTTCCCAATGGAGCGACCCCCACCTCGCGGCAGCACAACCAAGCGCATTTCCCATCCTCCTCGCTACACACTTCTCACCTTGGCCAATCCTCTCGTCGGCCTGTAAATTATTCCGGCAACATATCGGACAGCAGTTCTCATGGCTTGAGTTCCCGTCTGGATATGAAACGTCTCCTTTCTAAGCCGGCAGCGCCCTCACACTCTGGCTCGTCGATAATCTCGCTGCCCTCAGACTCTGAGCCTGCCCCTGTATCACCCACTTTCCCAAGGAAAGAGAGGTCTGCGAGCGATCATGATCGGTCACCCATGTCAACCAACCCAGAACACAGCAGGGGAAGAGAAGTTATGTTCAAATCCACGAGCCTTTTGGTCCAGCCGTCATTGGGCCGCAAGCGGGAGCCCTCCGCGTCAAGGCCGAGCACCTCGAGGGAGGCATCCAGCGGTGCGCAGTACGCGGACAGGAAACCGAGCAGCAGCCGTTTCACACGCGTAGCGTCATCTTCCTCCAGCTCGCCCACCACCCCGATTGCCACCGTCGTCCCGAGTACAAAATCTGCAGCCGCGGCAACTACTCGACGTCCTAGCGTGCCTAGTCTGACCATTGATCCATCTTACGGCAGCCGACCTGGGACGTCACCTGCTGATAGGAGTATAGGGCGTGCTGCGGGGCGGCGGTATCACGGCAGCGGAACGACGACAAAACGCAGGGACACGGTCGCGAACACGTCCGCGCCGTCTACACCAACGATCGGGCTTACCCCTGCTGGAGCTGTTGCCGCTGCGTACAAGCAGCAGGAGCAGAGGAGAGAGAAGCTGGTGTCAATGACGACTGAGGACGATCAATATCGTCCCAAGTCTCGGTCACTGGATGATCCGCGCGACGTGGAACCCAGTACTGGCCCGGAAAGGGGCGCGGAGGCGTCGCCTACGCCTTATTACACCGTGTTCGGCAGCACCTCTGGCAAAGTCGTCGCTGTGGGTGGCCCGGATGACCATGACTGGACGTACACTGCGGTGTACGCGGAACGATCGGACACAACGCTCGGCCGGACGTCGTCTCCAGCAGGCGTGAAGAGGTCACTGTCCCGGAAAGTTTCAGCGAGCTGGAGAAGGGGCAAAGGCATACCCCGAAGAGATAGCTCCCCTGACGTGAGCGATCGTGCTCAATCGGCCGAAGGAAGCAAGATCACCTTGCAAGAGAGGCGGTCTGCGAGTATGCCGAAGGAGAGGAGGAAATCTCTGCGCTTGTCCATCGACGACTTTGCCGAGCGGCGCGTCGTTGATCCATTGCTCACTGGGAGATCCTTATCTGCTGGCCGGCGTAATCCGTCAGCGTCCAACTGGGGCGAAGACTCAGTGGGAACCAGCGGCGATGATTTGCATGAGTCGCGCAGAGCAAAACCTTCGAAGCTGGTCAAGGCAAAGGACCCCAAGAAGAAGGAGAAGGAGGAAGAGGGATCGCCGGGTGGAAAACTATGGAAACTAATGAAGAGGATAAGCACTGGTGGCCTGAGGGAGCGTTATGCTTCAGGGGACTTCTCCCCACCGCCGGTACCCGCGCTACCCAAGGAGTACCTCCCACAGTCGCCTGCAAGGTCTGCAGAGGCGATTGACAGCCCCGAGAGAGGAGTTGGCTTGGCGCGCTTTATCCAATCCAGGCCGTCCATGGCCGTGTCTCGCTCTCCCGTGTCGTCGGCGCCATATAGTGTTGAGGGCTCGCGTTCCGCGGGAGGACCCAGGAGAGCTTCGAATGCCACCTCTGGAAACCGGCCTAGTACCACTACAAGGTCGTCTTCCCCCGTTTCCTCCGACCGAACGTCCTCGAAATTCTTCCATAGAACGCACTCGACTCGCTCCTCATCTTCATCGTACGGTGAAGAAATTCCCCCAGTGCCCAGCGGTAAGGTTGCGCAGCATATCATCCCACCCAGCGAACTGTATCGCCTAAACAGCGATGAATCCCATACGAGGAGTCCACCACAAGAACTGTATACCCCATCTCCCAATGACGACAGCTCCTCGTCCTTGCCTTGCCCTCCAAGGCGTCCGGGAGGCACGCCGAAAGGCAGCTCGTCACCTGTGGTGGCCGGAAGCGATGCTCAACATGAACCGCAGTTATCTGGGCTGGAACCGCTGAGCGCTGCTACGCTATCTCACTTGTCCCCGCAGAGTAGCGATGGAGATACCTCGACTTGGACATCTCCTGTCACGCCTGCATCTGGGGTGCCCCTGTCCGAGTTTGGTGTGCGGCCCCCTCCACGGCCTCCGAGGAGCTCGCAGAGGCCTCAGGGCAGGAGCTCTAGCTCGAATGAGAGCCATTCGGGCAGTCACTCGGGCACGCTTGGTCCATCAACGCTACCTTCGTTCAGGTTCACGCCTACCGAAGAACGAGATAACCCGCTGGAAGGCTCCTCGAGCTCATCCCAGATTAGCCGCGACCGTGACTCGTACGGGGCTTCGAGCAACGCATCGACGACGAAGGGACGGCCAAGGTCGAACTCATTGGGATCTCGGGCAGACACTCCCAGCCGCTCGGGATTGATGTTCCGCGAGTTTGGTGGGCCAGCGAGCACGCACAGATGGACCGAGCGGGAGAAGGCGGAGAAGTGGGACGAGCTCCTGGAACGGAGCACTCGCGCGGGCGGAACGCTGCACATCGGGACCGAAGGCCTGCTGTCGGACAATATCCGTTTCTCGCAATATTCTGATTTCTGATATTTCCTGGTAATGTGCTGCAATATAGTATACCCACCCATACAGTTCGTATTATAGCGTCTACTATCCATCCCAAAGACTTCTCATATCATACCCAACTGTCTCGTAAAATTACCCAGCCAATTCTCTGTACTTTCACGCCCGTAATACCTTACATATGTATCAAGCATTCATTCTACATTCAAGCCTTTAAATCCGGCCTCGTTGAGTCTCCGACTCAGGCATACGTGTCGCGACTGGCGCGAGCGTCTTTGACACTGATATCCAGTGTATCTGAGCTCCTCTGAAATCTGACAAATGATGCATTGATGGACGAATGCTCTGGAAAGGGTACTGGGGGAAGGCTTTCGCTGACCCACTTCACGCCATGTGCATACAGTAAGCATCTTCGTAAACGTTCAGTCGTGATTTGGTGTGATCGATAAGAGAGGTATAAATATGGGGTTGGCTGGGTGACAAGGCCATAGGTGCTCCCGTCCAAGCTTCAGCCTTCCTGACCTACACAAGACGATCGTAGACCATGAGCTTCTGCAAGGACTGTATCAGCGGTACGACGTTCCGCCATTACTAGTGTTGCAAGCTCACATAGCGTTCTCCACGCCAGGCGTTCGCCACGAGGGTAATCCCGAAGGTAACATTCAATGATTAGATCAGATGCCAGTGTAGGGGAAAAGAACCGACCTGTGCTTAGGAAAGATCGAAAAGATCGGCGGTGTGGACTGCTACGTCGCGACGCCCACAGTGGATTATCCCAAGAACAAGGTTCTCTTGTTCCTCACGGATGTCTTCGGTATCACCTTGACCAACAGCCAGGTACGGGAACGTGTCCATCTGTGCAGGTTGTTCTGCTGAACTTGTGCTGCATAGCTTCTGGCGGACGACTTTGCCAAGAATGGCTTCAAGGTTGGTGCAGACGAGGTTCAGACCCGATGCTACGTACTAAATGGTTAACTTCTCAGGTCGTCATCCCCGACTACCTCCACGGTGATCCCGTCCCCTTGGACGCCTTCAGCGGAAGCGTGCGTACCGGGGCCGTCTTTACGAGCAAGCAAGCGATGCTGAGCTAACGGCAATCTTCACAGAGCAGCTTCAACATCGGGGACTGGTTTAAGACGCACGGTGAAGCCGACACGCGCCCGCTCTTGGACAAGGTCATCGCTGCCCTCAAGGAACAAGGCGTTACTGAGTTCGGCGCGACGGGCTACTGCTTCGGCGGTGAGTGCCGTCTGCGTTGCTTGTGTGTCCCCCATTGATGTTAGCTTCTGGCCCGGCTAGCCCGCTACGCTTTCGACCTCGCGTTCGAGGGCATCGTGAAGGCAGTTGCGGTCGCTCACCCCTCGCTCCTCAAGGTACCGGATGACCTGGAGGTAAGTTGTCCGGCCTTCGTCCAGACTCGACTTAGATAGCCTGTCCCCTTTCCTAGAAATACCTCTCTACCTCCAAGGCACCTCTCCTTATCAACTCCTGCGAGGTTGACCAGCAGTTCCCGAAGGAGGCGCAGGCCAAGGCAGATGAGGTTCTGGGCAACGGCAAGTTCCAGCCTGGCTACACGCGGCTGTACTGGGAGGGGTGCACCCACGGCTTCGCAGTAAGTGGGATTCGACCAGATAATTCCAAAGCGGACATTCCTGATCCAGGCTGTATCTCAGGTCCGCGGTGATCTGAGCAATCCCAAGGTGAAGGCCGGCAAGGAGGGTGCTTTCAAGGCTACAGTTGAACATTTGTTGAAGCACCTCTAAACCGGTGGCGGACAGAGGTATTGTTGACATAGAATAATTTTAAAGAAGTGTTAAAGTCTGATGTACGTTGCTGTCTGACCCACTGAGGGTATCCACGTTATCACATAAGACTGAGGGCCTGAAGATGTGTATTCCAATACAACAGGTACAGAACGATGTGGAGAATCTGAGAGTACAATCAAGGTATCGTGCAAGTGCGAATAGAATATATAAGTCACGCCTTCCCCATAGCAGCAGCTGTAGCGCGTCTCCGCTTGTTCCCTCTCCGAATCTCCCCCAGATCGCTCTCCACCTCGTTCTCTTTCACCGTCGTCAATATAACCAGAGCCTTCCCCAAACCCCCAGTAGGCTTCTCCTGAGTTTTCTGCTTCCGCCTGCCATTACCACCACCCGTCCCATTTATCTGGGGCACCGTTGCAGTTAGCGGAAGCGAGAACGGCGACGGGAGCTCGTCGATGGACAGGGACAGCGGATTGGTGACTGTGCCCGTAGCCGCGACACCTGCCGTGCCCGTCTGATTGGGCGTAGGCGGCGGCGAGGTGCCAATCTTGTTACGCAGCTTGCGCGTTACGTGCGAGCGCGTCTGCGAGTCGCCAGTGGCATCTACGTGAATACTCCCCATTAGCAACAGGCGTATCCAATCTAGCATTGAGAAAGACGCGTACCAGCGATCGTCTCGCTGTCCTTCTCCTCACGCGCTCTGCGCCGTCGCTCCTCGATACCCTCCAGGAGCCGCTCGCGGATGCGCTCGCGCCCGCGCCGCCACTCCTCCTCGACCTTGTCGCGTTCTTCCTCGTACGAAATCTGCACCGAGTCCAGCGCGAGCTTCTCTTCGAGTGCGACCTGCGCGAGGAGTGCAGAGCGCTCGAGCGAGAGCGGGTATAGACGCAAAATGTAGGCGGGGCAGGTGTCGGGGCGCGTCGCGAGCTGGAGGGCCGTGCTATGTTGCGCGGAGATGGCTTCCTGGAAGTAGCGGGAGCTGTAGATGGAAAGGCAGGGGTGAGGGGGAGTGGAAGGGATGAGATGGGGGTAGGTCTCACTCGTCTTTCCGCTCCGTCATTTCTCGGCCCAGTTTCCCCGCCAATTCCTTTCGCTTGCGATCTTTCTTTATTTCATCGGATGAAGCTATTCATTCCATTGCGCGCGGTTTGAGTCTCTGCCGCGCCATTTCTGGCAGACGTATGGAGTACATACCGTGTGCTCTCGAGCTCGGGCCAGCTACGGCATTGTGGTGGTAGCTCGTGCTTGGCTCTTGCATATTGCCGTAGGAGTCTTGACGGGATTTGTTTGAGTGTATCGGAAACATTCCTGGTTGCGGAGGCATTGTGTCGAGTGCAGCAACGTCGAGGCAAACGCGATGGCAGACTTCGAATGCAGAGTGGCGGCTTTGGCGGTGGCGGGCAAGCGCTCGAGTTGCCGTACAATTGCCGTCGGCACTTGACTTCAATAAAAGGTGGCTATATATGTGGCAACTCAGCGTAGCATGGTCAGAACACTCTTATTATACGTGCGCGCATCTTACGAATCTCCTCGCTATGGAGCAGAGATACAATGAAACCAAGATTCAAACATATTCGTTCGAATCGGGCTATATGGTTTAGACGTGAACCGACCTTGGTGCAGCGATTGATCCATCCAGCGAAACAAGCTTACGAGGCGAGCGCTGGTGGCACTTTTTGACATAACTGGTATACCCTCACATGCAATTCATCCGTTTGCAAGTTTACCGGGTCCATGCAGCCGCGACGACGGAGGATATCACCTTTGTGGGCCGTCGCAACATTTCCGCCTATGATCGTACGCAATCTTAGCATCCCACGCAGTATAATTTGGTCACGCTCCGAAATGGCAGCGCCCCCCCCCCTCTCCAGCGAGGAAATCAGATAGAGACCTAGGGTGTTGTTCGTTTGCCCAGGGACTCAACTTTCGGGCAGCGCTGTTATCGCCCATGTTTTGCTGGTAACACGGCCTCGCCGTGGCGGCGAAGAGAGGACTTCATGCTACGAACTGTATTCCGTACGACTTGACGTGTTGAACAGCATGGTAAGTCAGGCCTCAAGGCCTCAAGCCTCAGGTCCCGACATGCTCACGGCTGACCCGAGGAGTCCAGGGAGAGTTAGACTGCACCTTTGCTCATATTTCACGTGCCAACCAGCGCAAGGCTTAATGAGATATCGCCGCCGAACTTCACGGAGGAATAGACAGATCGTCCTTGTATGCCTAGGCAGCCTGAAGACCAATAACCGTAGTCCCAGCCCCGCATGAGTCGGAGTTATGGACAACTATGGGAATTGTCGAGTCGATTGAGCCAGTCTCTCTAGGTCTTCGAAGGCCATTTGCGCCCAGATGGATGGCTAAGTAATGCCAACGTCCGCGATTCTTGACTCAAGAGCGCGTGTCGATCCCAGCAGAGCGATCGGGAAACCCTCGGTCGATATCCCATCCCGATCTCTCGGTCTAACCCTTCCGGCGACAGAAGGGGCATAATATCCGAGGAGGAACCTACGGGCGTTCTCGTTCAACCTTCGGCGTTTACCGCGAAAGTTAAGCTTCACCCTAGGTCCAAGCAATGACTACCAATCCATCGGCTCACGGTACGTGGCTGATTAGCGTGGAAGCTACAAGAGGAATTACGCTAGCTCACTCTAACCAACAAGGGCACAAGATAAAGATCGATCGTTTATGATGCACTCTCACCATGCCGTCAGACCACGACGTTCTGTCAAGGCGCTAAGCCAGCTGCGAAGTCCCGTCAGGTTATTAAAACCGCAGCAGAAGGATGTGAAGGACTGGGCCTCGCTCATGGCAGCGAACGGCGCGGAAGATAGAGGCTAGACTTACACCTACTTAAGCTCCCATAGTCGCCCACACAAGTATTCTTGTTATAAGAGCTTCTATGAATGATAAATTACATCAAAGACTTCAAGTACTTCCAGAATATCTGTAATGAAGCTGTAAACGTGGGACGGATGAGTGCCTGAGAACTCACTTAGCCCTGCTTGGTACCTAGCCAAACAACATATGGCATGCCTAAGACACTGTTTCCGGTGCGCCAGAGTTTCCATCCGGGACGGGTCGTCCAGAGTTCTAAGAAGCTGCGGACGACATCCTCAGCTCGAAGCTCCGAGACCACGACGACAGTAGTCGCATGACCAGAAATGTAGTCAAGGGTCTCGACCAAGGGCAGCAAGAGACTAGGATTGTAGATACAATCAACGAGGAGGACCAGGTCCGGGGAGCCGTCGTCGATGTAAGGCACATATTTCGCCCGGGCGGCAAAGGGCATCGACTGCAGCGCAACCCAGTCGAGTTCTTCCACCGTTATATTACCTCCCTTTGCTGATGGCTTTGGCCAATCAGGGTAGGACAAAATGATATTTTTGCGAATCAGCGGCAGCAGCACTGAAATATCCGTCACCGTGTATCGTCGGACCATAGGAGACAATAGAACGCCCAGTAGTCCGGTACCGGAGCTAGCACCAAACGTTAGTTGGTAAGAGCCTGACAATAGAAGGGAGGCGCTGGTGATTGCGAACCCTAGTTCGAGTACGTGTGCATTGGCCAGAGCGGTCGGATCCAGAAAAGGTTCTCCTGCAGGGTAATGTTGTTCTTGTAGGATTACTTCGGCCAGAGCAATGCTAGCAGGTCCATTGTACTGACTAGGAGGCGAGCCTCTGATGTCAAATTACTACTAACCTTGCTCTCCACAGGACGCTTCCAGTGTCCCCTGTGCGAGATCGGAGGGCTGTCGTGTCCTGAAGCAGGTCGACCTGGATCGTTATTTCTTGCATGCTTTTCTTCTTACGTCTTCTACTACTGTTCTTTATCGCGCTTACAGAAGGATCTTCAGAGGTCGGCGGTCTCAGCTCGAAGGTCACAGTCAACGTGTCCCTCCGGGAGTTAACATGACCCAGCCCACGAAAAGTGCTGCTGCCATCGGCTGTTTGGCAGGCTGAAAGTTGCGTGTACAGTAGGAAGACCTGGTTGCGTGCTTCAGTTCACTAGAGGTTTGGTGATAACTGCGAGTGTGGCACTCGCCTCTTCATCAACGTCTTCTATCGGCTCAGATTCCGATGAGAGGCAAACGAGGCCATGCAGTCGCGACGAGACAGCCGGACAAGTTTCTGCTCCCATTCAAGGTGGATTTGCTATCGACTTGCAGCTGATGAAAGGCTTGTTCCCGTTACCTTGGGAGCGAGCCTTGAGCCCCCAGGTCGTTACTACCGTATGTTGCCCGAGGACCCCCGATAATTGGTATAAATGCCTGATCAGGTTCCGGACAAATTTTGGGACTTTAGAGCCCTCAATGGCTGATTTTTTTACAGACAAATCGGCCGATTCTGGAGAGCAGGCCTGATTTTTTTCCGGACATTTTGGTCAGACTTGGCCATATTTACCCCGGCACCTGCCGGGGAAGCTAAATTTAGACGTACCCACGCCACAGTTGCCTTTTAGAGCCACTTTTTCGCTGTGATGCCTGTTTTTTTCCGGACAAAAGGTCCAAAATCGGCGATTTTCCTCCGGACAAAATGGGTTTACTTATGGATCCTCGGGATCAGGCATTTATACTGATTATCGGGGGTCCTGTTGCCCGCCATTCAAGATCTGCCAGATCTATTTGTGTCTATTTGTTTTGTAGCTCAAAGAGGCGATATATCTCCCCGTATGGCACCTCGAGCACACTGCAGGGTGTGGTCATGTAAGGTAAACAAACAAATCCTAGCAGTCCAATGGTAAAGCTCTGGTCGTCCTAATGAAGGAAAATACCGTAAGGTGTTGGAACACTAGGTAATTGAACCAAACACACAGTGCGCTCCGAGTGGGGGAGACTATCCAGACGTCGGGAGGCGGAACCTCTCGCGGACTGCGCAGGTCTTTCAGTGCGTCTCCCGAAATTCATAATCCCGCTACCGTAGGTACAGTAGTGGGTCTTAGACCCCTCGGACTAGGGTACGGTGTAAAAGTCGCTCATTATTTACACAGTTATAAACTGCTGTTAATAACATGTTGTAAACTGCTGTTAATAACATGTTGTAAACTGCTGTTAATAACATGTTATAAACTGCTGTTAATAACATGTTATTAACAGACCCTCTAGGCAGGGCCGATTTGAGTGTTAAAAACTCCCCCTCTCAGTAGCATGGAATCCACCATGCACCGGCAGAGGACCATACACGTAAGTTAAATATCATTGGGTCATCATGTTGTAAAGACCCTCTGACGTACTTCAGCTTGCGAAGTGCACCTCAAACAGCTCCGGGAGAGTGCAGTGGAAGCCTATCAAGCATTTTAAATCGCAAAAGTGTTTTTGACAATGTTAATATGTCGTTTTAACGTGTATTTAACGCATTTCAAACTGAATGTTATTAACTGTTAATAACCCTGTTACAGCAATCCGCGGAAACGATGCGGAATCGCGACCTCCAGAAAATACGACAAAATAGGCAAGGACTTACCTCAACGGGTTCCACTCAGGTCCAGCATTGGGAGCAAATTATGTGTTTGTGTCTTTTTGAGCTGTCGGCATGGAGCGTGTCCCGACGCCAAATGGAGTGATTTTTATCGATTACGGCAGTATTTTCACGAGGTGCAATTCCGCATCATTTTGCGGATTGCTGTAAAGAGGGCTTCGGAGCATGCCATGTTACTGTTACAAAGTCCTGATGAATTATTCCCGCTACCTACGGTAGCGGGTCTTAGACCCCCCGGACGTTCGCAGGTTTCCTGCGATGGTTTCAAGATCTGAGGGAGCACATGTTACCGCATGGCTGCTACTTTCGATGGTGAACGGCACCTTCAGCATTTCACTTGAACCAATGCCCCTCTTTTAGGAGGGGTTCTGGCACCCCCAATATGCGGACCACTTTTCGACCAACTGGCACATCCCGCTGTGCCATGTTTGGCTTTAGTAGTGCCACTAGTCCACTAGTACTGAATGAGGACTTGGTCTTGAATCTGTCAGACTTGAAAGACTGATCAGCACAGTACACAGTTGCTTCAATAACATGTGTGCAGTCTGTACCGGAACTCTCTGGAACATTCTGGTATATTCCACTATTGTACAAAGGCATGGAGCTCGTGTGGGTCAGTGACATCATAGGTGGAGCTCAGTAGGTTTAGGGATCCACGTAGCTTAGTCAGCCTATGGGCCACAGTGTATATAAACCCTGCAGCTCTGCTGCCTAATGATAAGGGTTGTTCATACAAGCTTTACCATGGCCAGTAGCTTTAGCATCCAACCAATACAGGTGAGTTGTGTAGGGCACACTCTGCATGCTGCTGCCTCCATAACTCTTCATCAGAACCTTGGAAACCCATGCAATCCAGATAAATGTATACATGTATGCTTACTGCATATTCCGGGCAATGGAACATCTCTCAGTCTGCCCAGGATAAGTATTCACTGGACCTCCCAGACCTGGAAACTCACTCAGCCTGATTAGCAGCATGTGAACTGACTATGACTTGAGGTGTTAACATTGATCTCAACATGCTGACACAATAATTTGTATGGAATAGTACTCAAGCTCTACAACTTTGAAAGGAGGGGTAAGCTGCCAACAGCCATCGGCGCTTCTTGAGTAGGGACTTCTCCTTGAATTGATAATGACAGGCTGTCTTGGTTGGACCGGATAATAAGAGCATGTGAGCATTTTCTTTTTACAGCCAAGGTGGCGGAAAGCCCCTTAATGATGGTAAAAGCACCACAGCCAAGGTGATGGAACAATCAGTCACTGCACCATTGCCATCTCAAGGAAAAGCCAGCCACAGAAATTCATAGGCAAATTGGCAACCTCATTTCTAAGATCAATCACAGGACTTCTGAGAGAATATATGAATGCTGTCACAATATAATCATCATGAATAAAGTACTTTGTCATGAATAGAGTATCATCCTGGGCATTTGGGGAGACAAGATACCTGGAAATGAGCAGAGCACAAATGCTTAGGTTGCTGTCATTTTTATATTTATGGTAGCAGGCTCTGCCGTGCTCATGCAGCCTTACAGCCTTAATCCTTACACTTCCGGAGTTACACTCTTTGGGCCTAGCAAAAGACTGTACGGTAGGAATATATGATATTGGTGTCTTGCACTCGCATTTGTGGGCCACGTGGATAATTCCCACGTCCTTTGACATGTACAGTACCAGATGCATCCAGTTTGTTGAATCGTACAAAGTCTCTAGTCTCCCACCGTAAATGCCTCCTTCTTTGGTTGCTTAATTAGGACAGTCAGCATATAATGGTCTGCATCTTGACATGGCACTAGGCCCCCTGAAAATACCCATAGAGGTCTGATAATGGTTTCTGTAAAAATCACCCTCAAATGAGTGCTAGGTCTGATACAGTTTTGGTAAAGGACCTGCCAGTGGGATCAATTTTGGAAGCAATTTTCAGGTACAAACGGGCATCCGGAGCCAAGGTCAGATACTATTTGGGTAACAATTATGGCCAGAACGGTGCCACAACTTGCCACAATGATCAGGTGGTGAGATTCTTGGATTCCATATACACCAGTGCACCTCAGAGAGGCTCATAAAGCCCATACATAACTAAATCTGGTATCGCCACAGGCACTGAAACTTTTTTGTGAATAAATAAATATACTCAAACCCTCAGGTTGGATACCAATGTTTCGGTAAAAGTCACAACTAAGGCGAGAGGGTGGATACTTTTTGGGTAAAATGCATCCCAATATGGTAATTCTGGTTTTGGTAAAAATGGGGGGAAAGTTTGGTATCTGGTATCAGACCTCTATGGGTATTTTCAGCGGGCCTGCAGCACTTTGACCGGGTTGGAGGATTTCAGGTAACGTGACTGATTCCCACTCCCACGCTCTCTGCACATGCCTTTGCTGTTGAGACATACTGTAGATTGACTGCGTATAACCGGAATAAATGACATTTACATGGTCTATAAACCTGTTTGGAGCATTATAAGTCAACACGGTCATTCAAATGTGGAGTATCAGTCGAGACACATTGAAAGGCATGGCACCTACAGCTGTTGCCGGGACTTGGTCACAATGCAGCTGGCCGCCCCATTTCTGCCCATTCATTCGAAGATAGAGCTACAATATGACCTAAAATGCAGAGAGTAGTAGTGATGCCACGGTCCGGCTCACTCTGGTTATTGGCCCAACTTTCCGGACCTGGGACTGGACCCAAGGTCCAGTTCAGGTAAATGTCCAGACCGTGAACCTCAAAGAACCCAAAATGGCATTGGGTCCGGGTTTGGGTTTGAACCCTTCAAAATTACCATACTTAGGTATGGTTCGGGCATTGTGGCTCCACCTGGACCTCACTTCAGGTTCAGTCCACCCCAAAGCCGGACCGCGGACCAGAACCTGGGTCAGTTCCGAGGTTCAAACCGGTTCTCCCCGGTTCAGGAACCGTTGATATGCACTGACACACAACAATCACCAAGGACCAAAGGAAATAAACCTAAACCCCGTGATATGGGTGAAGGCGGTCCGAGACAACTGAAGGGTATTTAATAGTTCGAGGGGGAAAGGAGGAGTAAGACGCCGTAGGGTAGTCCGTAGGAAGACCTAGAAAAATAAAACAAAACCTTGACGCCTGAAACAAACACTAAGGGACGCTCCGGAGTATTTATCTCCGGAAAGTCGCAGACAAAGTCGCAAACCACGAAACCGAGTGTAGGTTCGGGCCCACGGGAGTAGAAATTGCTAGAGAAACTTGGTTAATTTTATTTCGCTATGTGAGACTCACCGGAGCTAATTGGATCGATGGCGGAGATAATTCACTCGACGAGTCAGGCCTATTGGCAAAGCTAAGATCGGTTATAATTCGCTAAGTTCGACGCTTTCGAACTTCTCGGGTCGCTGAGATCGTAACTCTAATTCTCTGAGATGGTGAAGTCGAAACTTATTTTTCTGTATGCTACTTTGTACAATTTATACTACAGGAATGGCTTTGC